TGCATATGGACTGGCACAGAAGCAGGAGTTGCTGTCCCTGATGGCATTTTCCCAACTAGATGAACTTTGAGAAATCCATGGTCTACAGACTAGGGTATAACGGATAATCAAGCTTAGATTCCTTTAATATTTATTATTCTCAGCAGGCCTTTCAAAAGACCTATCAATATTGCAAAGAAAGACTCTTGATGCTAGCAAGTCTCAAACAGGAAAAGGAAATACCTGTCGAAAGAATACTGCTAAGGCAGTCTAGAGAATTAATAGATGCACATGAGATCTGGTTTATTCAAAGAAGGAAAAGTCCAATGAATAACAACCAGAATGACTTTTGAGAAAGACATTTCAGTTTATTGTCAAGATACTTTCTTCCCTCTTTTCTCAGCATTTTACATAATCTCTAATGTGGAAATTCAGTTCTAAGGTGTCACTACAATTTCTCAGATACCGGTGATCATTTGAGAGAGCATTTTTGTGGCACAGAAAGTAATTTTTTAGATTCTTTGTTCCCAAAATCCAACATGGGTCTACATGAGGTTGTCACATCACGCAAGAAACTCATCCCATGAATTAGATGACTTACTTGGTGCATAGTCAGTCCTGGACTTCAAAGCTGCACTTCAGAAAAAGCTTTTATGTTACACAACTTTTTTGCCTTGGGTTGTGCATAACAGTTTAGAAACAAAGTATTGTCGATAGATTTTTAAACTCAGAAATAACCTATCAACTGCTTTTCATGTCCCCACAAGCCTCAACCTTAAATTGTGACAAATTTTGCAAAATCCTGCATCAGAAAATGGAGAAAATCACTCTTCATGTTCCATGTTGGAATAAATAAGGTGCTATCTCTTGAATATCACATCGAGGTAAGCTTTTCCCCCCTCAATATCACATGACAGAGATCTTTCTGTGGAATTTAAGTTTGGTTGATCCTGGATAACAAAGTTTTGCCCTAATCGATCAAGTGTGCTGTGTATGACAATATGCCAGTCTCATTTGACATCATAAGTGGCTTGGTACCTGTATCCATAGCTTGCAAATGGATACAAGGCACCCTAGACCCAAACTTCGACTTCGGTGCAGCTGCATGACCTCTGCTCACAGCTAAATGCTCCCCATACACGTTTTCATTGTCTTAAGATCTCCTTTCTGAAATGTTCTTTTGCTTTGTATTAGGACTCTATAAAAAAGTAAATACATTAAAATCATTATCACTCCATAGTCTGTGCCTGCTGTACTGACTATATAAATCTGGGCTTTGCTTTTTTTAATCCTTTTGACTACACTGCAGCTCCCAGCTGGCACAGTAATTTGCAATAATCATAATTTTCCAGACAGCACAGTACAACATCCCAATTAAGGCAAAAAGGATGGGTCCATCTTTCAGACTCCATTACGGCAGCTTCTCAAATGGTGACGCTGCACTGCACACTGAATGTTCTTGTCATTGTAATGCTCTTTTACCTGTTTTAAACTGACCTAGAAATCCTTCTGAAGGCAGGAATTTCTGTGTCATTTTCTGCAACCCAGTGTGAAAAGAGCATTAGAAACATAGCTAGCAATTCCATTTGCAAAAAATTAAACCAAATGGATATTTGATTGACTTTTAAAGAACATGTAGAAGAACAACATTCCTCTTCAGATGGCAGACGGGATGTTTTGTTTCTTGATTTTCTTGTTTGTTGACAGATTTTATCTATGTCTCTTTGTAATTTACATGTGCCCCCCCAATCAGTTTTTACCATCTAAACACAGAACTGAAATTTTTACTGTTTGTTTTCAAGAGGTACTGAATATGCAGAAACTTCTGCTATCTACATGTCCTGACAGATTTTCACTACTTTTTTTTTTTTTTTTTCCCCTTCAGTAGCTAAAATTTCTGGTTTTATACTGAAGGATGGTGCACAAATAGAGCAGTATACTATAGACAGGGGCAACTCATGTACAATTGTGTTGCACTTTCTTCTCTATATACCTCCCCCCATGCATATACACACACATTTGGATTCACTATTAACAAACAATTTGCGACTGAAAATCAATGACGTTTTCCATCAGTATTGCTGAGAGAAGAATTGATTGGCCCTCAAAAGGTTGGTTGCACATTATGTGAAAGAACCCAATTGCAAAGAGCTAAATTTGCAACATAAAATGTTGCAAAACATTCTGCGAGGGAAGCACTATTGTTGTGGGACAACTATCAAGGCTTTTACCCAGTTTTTCAGGACAATTTATGGCATAGCACATCTTTATCAAACACCTTTGTATTTTACTCTGTTGAGTGTTTATTAATTCACAGCAGTAAAGCCACAGTCAACACTGAACAGCTGCAAGATTTTAATACTGTACTCTGATTTAAAGTTGATAATACCTTTTCAGAACAAACAAAATTATCAATTAAGACTTTTCTAGTCTTAACCATGCAAGAATTTTTTCTGAAAGTTACTTAAAAAATAAAGTTTAAGGCGGGAACTAAGAAAAATCCCAAGGACATTATATAGCTATTGTGTTCTCTTTTGTGAGTACTGAAGTTATTTTAAACAGATAAAACGATTCCTCATTGCCACTGTAATTTTTGTATTATGTTGTTCTACCCCTGAAGTTCACCTTTCTAATTCTCTACTATAGAAGCAAACAATGCATTATTTTGAATCACTTAAGTGTTCTGTAGCAGCAGGTTTGTTGGAACAGTGACTGCTGCTATATATGGCTTTTCCAGAACTTTGTGGTATCCAAACAATACCTGACAAGATCTATTTGCTTGCAGAACTATGAACACACCCATCCCCGTGCTGCATGCATGAGTGGCTTCAGGAAATTACTGAAAGTTTAGCAAGATATCCAAAAACAGGTGCCTGGAGACCTGTAACCAGTCCACTGAAATCACTGGATGCAGAGTTGTTGGTAGAAATTAGGCAGGATGAATCTGAGCTTTAATCTTCCCAAACCCCCTTACTCTTTCCAGATTTCAGGCCTGGTGTTTCTGTACAGAACTTTTCCAGGAGTTGTGCTCGAGCCTGTAGCCACATACTTGGTGTTGCCTGTGGTCCCCTAGAGCATTCCTTACTTCAGCTTATTACTGTTTCACTAAGCTCACCCAATTTTGCGTTTTTAACTCTTCTAAAATTTTGGGTTGTTTTTTTTTCTCATATTTAACTGACTTTGACCTTCTACAGCCTTTGAATTAGGAGGAAACACGTAGGCTAAAATTTTTCTTTCCTCTATGACTATTCCATTGTTCCTTCACCTTTTTCTCTCTTCTGGACTTGCTGAAACTTCTTTATCTTCAAGAATCTGCCTGCCCACCCCATACCTTATTCTGTGCACTTCTCAGTAATTTCCCTGCTTCACCTTTCCTGAAATTATTCTGTGCCTTCTTTCAGGCCAAGCATCATGCATGAACCAGCATCCAGTCCCGTTTCCTCAAAACCCTGTCTTCATCAAATCCACTTCTTTCCAATTCTTTTAACTGATTTCCAGTAGCCTTCCAAACCTCCTCTCACCAAGCTATTGCTCCTTGCATAACCTTCATAATTTTGATTAAGTAATAAATTCTCCTTTTCAACATACAAACAGTAGTGAAGACTTGTAAATGCCCCCAAGCCTTATGAATGTATTAATGTAATAACTGGAGGGCTCTAATTCTCAGGGGGATTATAGCTGCCTATATCTGACAGCACTAAGAACAAACTTTGAACATAAAGAGGTGAAGTATGGAATGAGTTAATAAAGGGTAAAATTTAGAAAAAGACTAAAGTTGAAAATCACTCCCAATAAAAGGAAACTCGGATATTAATCTCACATCTAGCTTCAATAATGGTTGTTTTAGAGGCAAACTGTAAATTAACTGTAAACTCTGAACAAGGCCTGTAACAAGCATGATACATTAAGCATCAGGATGACAAGTCTGCTTTTTCTCTTTAGCACAGACAAGTTTGTGTATGTGTGTTCCTCTCCTACTGCTCAAGATACCTTTAGATGAGTTTTGCAAAACTTAATCTACACTTGTTGACCAATAAAGCCACCACTGCAATAATACCTCCCTGTGGAGGAACCTTATTACAGAATAAAGTAACTTTGAAGCTGCAAATGTGACAAAAAATTAAGTATGTTTTTCTTATTATAAATACATAAACACCAAAGCTGTTGCAAGCACATGAAACATAGCCTAAAGCTGCATGCTCTCAAGGTTTTCAGGGGAAACTTGGTCCAAGGACTGCACTGCTGAGAAAACCAAGGTACTAACCAGCTCTGTGTGCTGCTACAGAGGATGATGCAGCAGGGAGGTGATACTCTGATACCTCTCCAAGAAAGTTATGTCAGTTACCAAAGTATTATAAGCACCATTAAACATAATTCAGCACATTTCATGTATTTCACTGTATCTTTATACTGTGAAAAATGTAGTCAGTAGCAATGTCAGTAGGGCTACATAAATGCTGCTTTCTGCATACTAACCAAAACCTGAGCTTCAATCCAAATCACCTTACACCAGATGTGGATTTCAGATGAGCATCAAGGCTACCTGTGGCCAGGGATGAAATTCAGCCCATGCTACACTGAAGTTTAATCTCACCTACCTGCATCAATAAGATGACGTACATTTAAGCTGGGACTTTCCAAAGAGTTCCCCGTATAACCTATAAAAGTGACTGGCAGTATCATCTGGCCAGCATAAGGGAAAAAGGGAACAAGCTGGCTAGGCTCCCTCCTACATGCACTTGATGCACAGTGCTGCTGTAATTTTCTCCAGTGCAGCAATTTTTATTTTACTGTAAACAATAAAACAAAGCCTAAGTATTTTCCTGTCAGGATGGTGGTACGAGGACTAGCTAGTATTTATGCATAGTTTTGAAAGGGACAGTACCTTTCATGTTTCATGTGATCATCTCTGGGAAACACACAAAATCAAGACTCTTAAGATGTTTAGCAGTGGCAGAATGTTTTGCCCTCTTTGCAACAGAATGTAGTTCAGATCTGTACTAATAATATCTGAAACAATCTACTTTATCCAACCAGGTTTTAATTTAATTTAAAAAATCCAATGGTTCTTTAAATATAGTTAGCACATAAAAATGGCAGGAAGTTTACTGTGCACCAGTTAATCCCACCCTTGTTCCACTGAGTGCAGCTGGATTCACCTTCTCCATTTTATTTTACTCCTTGCTTATTCTGCTTATAATCTGGTTCTCCAAGAATTTTAGTTTTCTGGGACAGGTTGCAAGTAGGAGAAAAGTAGTAGAAACATTCACACATGACACTGGAAAAAGCTTATTATTATTTCAATTTTTTTTAGTCTCAGAATTGAGATGCCAAAATGCAATGTATATGTAAGTACACTTTAATTGTCTGTAAAGTGAATTAGTAAATTTTGCAATGAAAAATGGGAGATTAGTAGCTGGATGCATGGATTATGGCATTCAGTGGGTTGCCATACACGGAGGGACACATCTTTTGAAGAAGATTTTAATCAATTCAAAAGACAATATGGCAACTGGCAGGCTTTTTCTTTATTGAAGCAAAGTCACAGCATTTTCACCACTATTCCCCTCTTATGAAGGGAAGAGTTAAACGAAGGCCCCTGAAATTTACATTACTAACAAGTAAAGGATTGAAGAAAGAGATTACAAGCATATTTCTCTAAAATAAATAATCTACAAAGAGTGCTTTTTCTTCTTAAAAGCAATCTAAAAATGTATAAATTCTACGGTACGGAGATCAAAAGATATTTTAACAACTTTCAATATTTACAAACAATACAAAAACTGCGCATGCCATCAAATGATGCAAAATTCTTCTTAAAAATTAAAAGCTTCACTCCTACTAAGAACCAAAAACTCCAGCCAGTATTTCAGTTTCAATTAATTTTCTTTACAATTGGGAAACCGTTAAATGTTTTTATTATCTGTAAAATATACAATAAAAATGAACCTCACTAAATTATTAAGGTTAAAAAATAAGAGAAATACTGCAGGCAAATCAAAAAGTAAGGTAACTGTAACTTATTCTTTGGTAACCAAAAGTTAGCAAGTATCTGTATTTCAAGTGATGAAAAGTAATAGTCTTCCTGTTTTGACAAATGGAAGACAAAACTTCTGGCAAAACACAACTCCCAAGTTTCAGTTTTGAAAGACAGGCTCCACCTACAGCTTTGTAGTGCAAGTTCTAAAAGTCAAACTTTGCTTTCTAATTCAGAAATCTAACTGTCCTGGTTCCGGCCAGGACAGGGTTAATTTCTGCAGTAGCCAGGAGGGGCAATTATTCCATACCACCTCACATCATTACCAGGGGCAGGGAATGGGGGGCTCTCCCAGTCGGGGTAGCGTGGTGGCAGGTTCGTGTATTACTGGGCTCCGGTGAGCAATTGCGTGTGAATCGTTTTCCGCTTTCTCCTGCACTCTGTCATTAGTATTGTTGCTGTTACTGTTCTTTTTCTTATCTCATTGCTGTTTTCAGACAACTGTCCTTACCTCAACCTGTGATCCTTATTTTTTGTGCCTTCAATTCTCCTCTCTAGCCTGCCGAAGCAGGGAAGGGGAGGAGGGAGGGAGGGAGCGGCACTTGGTTTAGAGTGGTTCAGTGGAAAAACTAAATTGGGGAATATCATTCCTAAACCACAATAGTAGTAACCCTTCCAAATTCTAGCAGTACACTGCTTCATTCCTCTCCCACTTTTCAAATGTTGTCTGCTTGCATCCTCTGCAGACATCCAGTTGTTCCAGTTCTCTAAGGGAATACTCCAGTCAAGAAAGCAATTCACTTGGAAATGAGTGTTTCACCAAGCATAATTGTGTGGCTGCACAGCAGCTAGTAGTGTGTTATAAAACTCAGCTCCCTTTTCCACGTTCACTGTGTATTTCATTTTCCCTCAGGAAAAAGAATAAAAATTACAGTACTCTGGACCAATTCAAAATCTGGTGAGCTAATCGCTCAAGCAGGACATGCTTCATCGAACACTGGGCCAATAACCCAGTAATAAACCATGTAACCCCAGCACCAACCCTACTACCTTCTCACAGGTGAATGGGCCTCACCGTGCCTCTCTCTGCTTAACATATGCACTACGCTGCACCACTACAATGCTTTTGAACCAAATGTCCAGCTTGTACCACAGGAGCCTTCCCATTTCAGGTTTATTCCTAAATTTTTCTTGCACAACTGCAGTCTCAAGAAAAAGAAAAACTTCACACCCCTACAGACTCTGAGAAAACTTCCCTCCCACCCCACAAGAGGACTTCTAAGGCTTTACACAAAAAATTCAACTTAACTTTCTTTAAGCCACAGACCACTCATTCAAAGCAAGTGCTCCCCAACCCAACCCAACCATGCAGAACCACCATCGCTTTAGCATTTAAACATACACATGCAGTTCATGGAATAAATGCTCAGCAAAGTAAACTTGTCCTGGTCTGGGCTTTCTTCGGGAATCTAGTCCTCTGTGATTTTCTAGACTAATACCCAAAGCCTTCTGTCACACTGCCTTTTAACTTTCTTCAGCTGAAGGGCTTAGATACTTCCTTGAAGTACCTGGTTGAGTCATTAAGTCTAGATGGGCCGGATCCAAGGTCTCCTTGCATCCTGCCTCCTCAACATATGCAAAGTCATTCATGTCCATTTCATCACTGTTAAACATATTAAGCTGCCTCTCTTGCTGCTCTTCCAAAGTCCTCCGGACCCTGCCCTCTGACTGTTCCACCACTTCCCCATCTCCTTCACTAATGACAGTCATGGGGCTGCTCTGGATGCGGTTGCGGACGTTGTACTTGCTGCTGGCAGCAGACGGGGGTGTTCGTGACCGGCCGTACCTAGTGCCAGAGAAGGACATGCTCCTTGGCATCAGGCCCTCGCTCTTGGCCCATTCTTCCTGGGCCCGTTTGCTCTTGCTGGGTGAGCAGCTGGCAGGGTTGTCAGAAAGGTCAGCGGGGGCATCTGTCTTTGTCCGATGGAACCGCGGGTCCGTGTTCTTCAGCATCTCTGCCGCAGACATCCGGGAACTGGTGTCACAGCGGCTCCCTTTCTTCAGCAGCAGGGCTTTGAAGTTGTCGTTGCTGGTGCTGCTCTTGCGAACGCTTCTCTGAATAGATCCGGCTTGTTTGAGGGTAGCTAAATTTGGGGAAGCACCAGTGGGAGTTACGGGGGGCGACGGAGAATGGTTGCGGGTACGGTCGTCTTCAGAATCTTTACGGCCAAGGACTTTCCTTTTGGATCTGAGTTTGAAACAGAACAAAAAAAAAAAAGAGGAACAAACAAAAAATGAAACTTTTTGACTCCCCTAATTAAACTCGATTTAGAGGAATGACAATGAATTAAGCTAAAGCAGAGAGAGGGAAAAGGGAGAAGTAATCTAAATCTAAAGCATGAGTAAGAACACCACCAGAACTGTGCAGGTATTAATGCAGGTATTAGAGGTATAAGCTAAGTTTACTGCTCTTTTTCTGCAAATCTGGAACAATGAAACTACTAAAACTGGCAATACTGATGTACAAAACACTTAAGCAAATTTCGTTTATCAGATTTTCGGCAGTCAGTATTAAACTGCTAAGTCAGTATTAATCTGCTAATCTAATATGCTATAAAGATTTAGACTCAACAATATTTCTCTGTTAGTTTAGGGACTTGATTCAAAATATGTCATCTAGAGTATATTTGGTTGTTTTGTTTTACTATTTCATTTGACATTCTATGGAGAACAGGTGCACTTTCCTTTAGAAAAGGACACTGATTCAATACACTGCTGCTGAAGTTAAGATGGAGAAAATGGAGCCACATGCAAATATTCTGAATTAAATGATTAAAAAAACAATACCCTCCCTAACCAAAATATTAAATAAATACTCAAAAGAGTTTTCCAGTTTCTCTTAAGATGCATGGACAAAATTCACAGTTATGTTGGTGCTCTGTCATTGCAACTCTTCAACTAAATGAAGGAGAGACCAACTTCCTGACAAGAAAGTTATCTTTCCAAATGAAAGGGTGGAGTGTTTTTCAATTTAAATGTAAAGTGCAGGGGTAACAAAAGCAAAATTAAAAAACAATCATGGAACTGGGAATAAGTGGAAATTTCACTTCTATTGTTCCATTTTTGCATTATTAGAAATCTTAAAGAAATGTACATGCCTGGTATCTGTGGCAAAGCTGTTTTGCTTCTTTGCTGACGAAGCAAGAATTTATTCAGAAAGACAGTATAAAGCCTAATTTCAAATATGGTATTTTGGAAGAAGTTAAAAAGAAGCCAGCAGACTTGTTACAAATACAAGATTATAATGCTGTAATACCATATTAATTTTTATCAAGCATGTGCTCAATACAGACCATTCCCCTTGTAAAACAGGTTTCTACTTAATGTGATCTTTAGCTTTACTTTCTTAAAAGCCTTGAGATTTTACCAAGGCAAGCTCAAATGTTTTTATGTATTGCATTAATAATAATTAAAAAGAAACCCTGAAAACAAAGCAGAAAGATGCACTGTCTGAGTAGGTGGCAGCAACAGACATTGCCATAGATCTGCCAAGACTTTGGAGTGATCCTGTCTCTCTTAAGTGGTGGTGAAGTTTATGCGTAGATTACTTATGATACCCCCCACAGATAGCTGTACCACCTGTTATTTTCAGCAGCTGCTGCTGCCTCCACCTGTCCTTCTGGAAGAATAATGTAATACCAACATCCATTCAGCCTGAGGATGAATGGACACCAGAAGACAGCATAGAGATAAAATGATGACTTCAACAGCAGCAAACATACAAACCTTATCTAGATTTAACTGTGTATTAGTATTGTAGGCAGCAAATTGTTAGGGTGCTTGGATGGTCTGCAAGCCTGTATGTGAATATGTCTGTGCATTTGTTAAAGGGAAAAGATTTTCCTTCATTAGAGTTTTGGTTGCCTACATGTATCTTTAAACACTGCAGTGCTGGGGTTGTACTGCTGCCAAAACCCAAATTGAATTGGGGGGGGGGGGGGGGGGGGGAAAAAAGGAGAAATTCAATTGCAAAGATCTGCAGGGAAGACTTCATTATCCTAGCTTGGATTAATCCGGTAAGACTGTGAATGCAGTGCAGTGCAGAGCAGTCAGTCACTTTGCTGTCAGCATGTAACCAGCTTTTCTCAGTATGTATCAATTATGGAAAAAACTTAATTTTAAGAACCAGATTTGGTTTTGGTGGCTTTTCAGACAGATAGGGTATATATTTAAACAAAACTGTGACTTAAAACTTAAGTTACTCTTTCTGTCCTTAACGCACATACCACTAAATTTCTTGTCTTACTCCAAAGCACATACTCAGGAGTGCCAATCACTGAAATAATACCTTTTAGAAACAGTGGGGGGAAGACCAAAACCTTTCTTTATTAACAACCAAGGAAGATAGTGGTTCAAGTCTAGAGCCAGGAAAAGCAAGGTCTTAATAACAAATGTGACAGCTTTAATTATGTCACATCCGGTTCCATTGTCCATTTCCCCATAAACTCACAAATTGCATGTGTGTGCACACACACAGAGATCCCCTCTCTATCTGCATACATAATGGAGAAAGGCTCCAGGTTTCATTCTAAAACCAGATTTGTTGCAGTTCTAGTGATGCCATGCAACATGAATGCAACAGACCCTTTTTAGAACACCTCCTACAGGCCAAGTCCTAAGAGGTAACAGTAAATTATAAAAAGTCAGTGTCATATATATGTAATTTTTGTAACATGTGAAAGGGAATAGTTTCAAAAATGAAAAACAATAGCATTTGCATCCGAAGTGCTAGAGGCTCCCAGCTGCTCTGCCTGTTCTTCATTCCTGATGCAGAACTCGGCCACAAATGGGCAAACTGACTAAATACCTGGATAAACCCACACGGAGCTGCTGAGCACATTCCCTGAGCAGTTACGGCGTCCTCTCTGCAGTTTGCAGTATAAGACAAAGCCGCAAGATGGTGCTACCACTACACCCAATCTAGTCTACAGGCAAGGTCTGTGTGTGCTGTTTAAATGGTGCACACGTTTCCTTTTGTGGTTTAAAGCTTTTATTTGCTTGGGGTTTTCTACTTTTTATTTTTGAGAACCTGATTTTGTGAACAGCACAAAAACCTAGCTGCCGTTCAGGGTGATTTTGTTTTCAAGGGAAATGAATAATGTCATCAATAACAGAGCCAGTACTGCACATTTCATTCATGAATCATTTTGACACAAAACACCGGACCTCAGGCTGGATTATGGCAAACTATAATCCAGCGTTTGCCATATGTTTTGCCATATGACTGACATGTTGTGTTACTTGCCAGTTTCAGCCACGCTTGCCATGAAGCATTAGCGTTGAGCCTCTGTCCCAAACTGCACCATATAAGCAGCGAAGAGAGTAAAAAGATGGAGAAGAACGAGAATGAAAACAAAAAGATACACAGAAAAAGCAACAGTAGAGTTAATATGGCAGATTGAGAACAGTACAATAACTACTAGACATAATTTGGTATTTTAAGGGGTAAGATATTTATAATATAATCTACAATGATTTAATCTGGTCATTTCTAGTTCAGCATGGATTACATATATTTGTAAAACAATAAAAGGCAAGTTCTTTTCTTTATCTTTCTCATATATAGCCTTAGTAGAAAGTTGATAAATGTGTGCTTTTTCATAAAGCAATGACTGTTGTAATTGAGAATTTTAGTAAATGTTAAACTAATTTTTGAGAGACCTACTGGACCTGACAGTATGGGAGGGGCAATTTCTGCAGTACCTGTGAATGGCTGCAAAAAGATCTTCAGTAGTCCTTGGTCTCGCTGGTGTTGCCACTCCATCCGTCTCTTCCCCATAACTACAGCTTGGCAGGAATGAACTATTTGCTGTATCTGATTCAAACACTTCCACTACGCAGAGAGAATGAACAAAACTGTCAGTCCATCATGTGAATCCAACAGGCATATAATGCTGAAACCAGCCCTTGCTGCCTCAAAGGCAAAGCATCTGAGAGACTGAGTGCACTGTTGTCATAATTGTGATTTCAGATCAACATTTGCTTAGTAAACTGCAGTGCATGAAATGCTTGTGTTTGGTCACACATACACACGCAGAAGAAATACAAGAAAATTTGTATGATTCCCACTAAATTGCAAAAGCAAAATTTCCAAAGCTAACTATGTTTTCATAGTATGCTTTAACACTAGCACAGTCAAATAAAGCATCATTTTCTTTCCATGTCTGCAATGAGAAGTCAGAAAGGAATTATAAGAAATCTCATGAAATATTAATCAGATCCCTGCAACTTTCCTTAGTCCTTTAGTTATAATAATCACAAGAGGTTCTTTCCTCTACAGAATCCCACCTCAATGCTAGGATTGCTATTCTCACTCCCCAGCTTCTTTAAAACAGCTACTGCTGTATCTGAAGAGGAGTCAGAGAAAAGAGACTCACCACTTTCGTTCTCTTGAGGTAGGTGCCCGTCAGCGTTACTGCCGCTGTCTTGGCTGCTGCCTGAACTGCTTCCTTCATCAAAAGCAGACTGCTCCTCCTGCCTGGGCTCTTCTTGAACTGGTGATGCAGCAGGCTGTACCACAAAGGCATTTGCTCCCCCTGCCTCAGAGAAGGTGAATCCAGCAGCTCCTCCCTCAGGAACCAGGCTGCCAGAGTCCATCTCGCTAGAACTGAGTCCATCTGTAAGACAATTTCTCGCCTCCTCGCAGTGTGCGAGCACAGTGTCTCTCTTAGTCGGACTTGATGTGCTTCTGACAGTATCACTCACTTCAGCTGCTTTCTCCACTGTAACATCTAACTGTGGAGGTGGTACAACAAGGAACAGTTTGGGTTTCTTTGAAATAGGAGGTGGTTTCTTGCTTGGCAATATGACCTGAACCTTGTCAGGAGATGCTGGTGACCCCTGAGGTGACATACCAGAACGAAGGCCTTCATTCTGCACCAAAGACTCAGGTGTGTCTTCAGTAGCTGTCCCCAGTGCATCAGCTTCAGAAGACTTTTTTAGACCTACTGCATTAATAGGTTTTTCATCGCTGTCAAGAGCAGGTGTGTTATCAGAGAGAATGAGAGGAGAACCTCGAGACAGTGTTTGAACTGCATTTTTAAATGAAGTGCCTTGAGTTTTCATTTCCTCATTGCCTAAGCTGCTACTGAGTCTTAGTGAGAGAGACGACTTTAGGGAAGACTGTGACGATGAATTTAAAGTACCCTTCTCCTCAGAGGTGGCTTCAGAAGCAGATTCAGGTTCACCTTCTGTCGCTTTTTTCACAGACCTCAACTGCACCATTTGCAATGCTTTGGTAGTTACTAATGGCATCACAGGTCTCGATGAGTCTTGCTTGTTGAGTGGTTGTTTCACTGGACTATAGCAAGAATCTTCCTGATTGCGTTTCTTAAAAGAATACTGTGGGTATATTGTTGCACCTTTTGTTAACTTGGGATCAAGAGGTGGTGCTGGTGGTGGGACAGCTAAGGGGCAAGTAGGAGGAGGAGGAATGGTGGAAGAGAATGAACTGATGGAAGCTTCTTGAGAAAACCAAGGGACAGTCTGAGCAAAGGAAGAATTTACATTAGCTTCTGGTGGAGGAGGGGGGAATGTGGGAGAGGCTGACAATGGTGACGAATCCATGACTTCTGCTGGAGGAGGAGGAGGGGGAGGAGAAAGTTCGGGGCAATGTGGAGGTGTTGGAAGAAGAGGTGGTGGAGGAGGTGCACCAGAATCCAGAGGAGGGCTCAGGGCGGGGTCTAGTTTCTTCACACTCACACTCCCTTCGGTAGATGTATTTGAAGAAAGGGAAGTGGAGGATGAAGACATGGAAACTGAAGACAGAAGAGAGGATTTCCTTTCAGGCACTTTAGGCTTCAGCTTGGATTTCCCATTTCCTGATGATGCAGGTTTTAAAAGTACAGGCACTGGAGTAAGCGCAGTGGGTGTATTGGACTGGCTGGAGTACCCACTTGACGGTGACGTGACTCGGTGGGATTTCTCTGGAGAAGTGCTCTTTGGTTTTGCCAGCCCACTGGGCACTTGTGGCACAGAAGCCCTTGAGCCATCACTGAAGTGGCTGATGCTGTAATCGCTGAGAGCCGACGATGTACTGACAGAATGGGTCACTGGGGATTTCACCTGGTCGTCTGTCACTGCGGCATAGTCGCTGTAGTAGCCCCACTGGTCAGCATACTCTGACTTGATGCTACTTGTTTCACTCTGTGAGGGAGTGACTGTGCAGATGGAGTAAAGGTTTGGAGCAGTGGTGGACATCATGCTGCTGCTTGCACTGACCGAGCTTTGGCTGCGGGAGCGCAACACCCAGGGATCCTCGTAATCACTGGAGGGGCTCTGGGAAGGGGAGCTGCCATTTTTGCACTTGAGATTTAACTGCAGAGAATGCTGGAGGGTGGCAATGAGGGTTTCATCAAGTACCTGTCCACTGGATTGGACTTTTTTCTTAGGCAGCCTTCTGAGTGAGTCTGTTCTGGATGGTGGCAAAGGTGGTTTCTTGGCCTTTTTCAGAGAGATGTTTCTTGCAAGAGATTTGTCACCTTGGCCTGACTGGTCATCCTGCTGTTTCTTCTCCTTTCCTTCGAAGACATTTATCACACTGTCTCTTGGGTTCCCAAAACCATTAGTATTATTGTACGGCATGTCTGACTTCAGCCCGGAGTCATTATGCACGGAACTGTAATAACCATCGTGGTCCCCAGAATACAGAGAAGTAGAATCATCCCTGACCGATGTCCTCTCCAGGCTGCTGCTGCTCAGGTTGCTACCAGGAGTGGCATAGCCTGGTGTGGTACAAACCACCTTGCGTGAAGGAGTCTCACTGTTTTCTGAAGACTTGTACAACCAGTGCTCTGTGCTGTCCACTGCTGCCTGTGCTCGCTCCCCAGAATAGCTAGATTCACTCCTACCGTCGCTGTCCTGGGAAGGGTTTGGTAAAGCAACATTGTTCCTGCAGCTGTAGGTTGTGGTCTGAGACCCAGCCTCTGCATTCCCAGGAGTGGTAAGAGAGACAGCAGAGTCACCAAGAGAAAGCATCATGACAGCATTCGATGGGATGGTATCTGAAGTCTGTGAGTGACGTGTGGAGCTACTCTCACTCCAGTTACCGCTTGAAGAATGGTGATCTTCTTTCCCACTTATTGCACTGCTGGTAACAGGATTGTCTCTTGGATTTGGGTAGGCAGTGGAGCTGTTCATTTTACTATCCAATGATCCAACACTCTGGGCAGCGTGAATAATAATAACTTCTGAGGAGGATGACAGTGTTGCATTGGGTATGATGCTTGTTGAGTAGGTGGCATGAGGAGAGACCACACATGCTGGGCTTGCGGACTTCTCACTATCACAGCTTCTCACCTCTTGAGACTTTGGCCTCGACAGGGTCCCTGTCGTGGGATTATTCCTCAGATGCACAACACTATCATCCACTTGCAATTTACTTATCTGGTGAGGTAAAGTGCCAGCAATGTCTTCCGTCTGCCTAGAGATGCTCTGTGTCTGGTCTAGGGACTGCAGAGACACTCTTGCACCGACTCGAGGCAAGCTGTGAAAACCTATGTCGCTATTTTGGCGAGAAGCAAATATAACTGCAGCAGAATCACTCATCACTGACATGTTTCCAGATGAGCTGGAGAACTGAGACATCTGGGCTGCAATGCCTTGTCCTTTCTGTGCTCTTATTCTTCTCATTGAAGGGGGCACAACTTTAACTTCCTCCGTCTGGCAGCTGGTGTCCTTGGTTTCCGAGCGCTGCATGGCAGAGCGATAGCTGTCAAGTCTCCCTAGCGTGGAACAGTGATCTGGGACATACATCGAATGCCCTCGGAAATCACTTTGGCCAGTGCCAACTGCTGGAGTCAAAATAAAATAATTATTTCTTGAAGCATAAACTCACATTTATCTTTTCACTCATTTAAAAACAACCTCCCCCCCAAGCAACCTGCTCGATCCCCATGCTCCTGCAGGTTATGCCTTCTAAAGAAAAATCTGCAACAATGGATTTTGCACAAGCATTGTCTGATTTCTGCATTTCTCTTCCCTTTTGCCTTATTACCAGGAACCTCCTGCTTACAGAGTCGTCTGCGTTCCTGCCACACATTCGACCCATGAAATCCTCTGTTTATGACATGGTAATAATTTCCATAGTAATCAGTTATGTCAGAAACCAAGTAGCACTGTTTGACTTCCAGTAGGCAACGCAGCAGGAACAGACAAAAGCCTGAGAAACGTGAAGGGTGTTACCACGCTAATGCCTCATGCAATAAAGAAAAGGGGAAGGAAATCTGGAGACTAGTATGAATAAAAAGATTTGCTTTTTACAAGCATTACACTTCAGGAAAAAAAAAGATTCAGGGGACACTGACAGCTCTCCCAAGTCCTGCAGTTTGTCTGAAAGAAGGCTAACATGGAAACACGCATTGTTTTACCACAAATAATACATATGCTACAACAGCACTTTCTATTTAAACATTCTCCAACACTGCAAAGAAAATCATTAAATAACAGTTCTCCTTACAAATATTCTCTAGTTATTTTACAGGAAAAACTTAAGAAGTGGGGAAAAGCTAGTATTGATGGTCATCTTATCCTCAGCACCATCAGGAAACAAAAATAACTGTGCTTTTTCTAAAAGAATGAATAACCATATATTGACATAACCTCCTTCTCCACAACTTTGAAGACAATGGAAAACCAGTTTCAGTTCAAAATATAGTTATCACTGGGTCGACAGAAAGGACTCCAGGGTTCTGTTAAATTTACAATTTTATCGGTAGCAGCCTTTCAAAACCACAAACCAGAACACTGCTTTAAAATTAGTCTGTGTAAGGCTGCTGCTTTTGAATTCAGTTGCGTTGCTGTATAAATAGCAATAGAGAGGCAGGCGTGCTGCTGGAGATGCTGGTAAGGATGCTGCACATGTCACTGCGGGGGAAAATTGGTTATTTCAAGTCTCCGCTTTAGCTAGTCTCAGGAGCAATGAAGCAGCATGCCTGATAGGACTGCTCTCCTTTCGTATTGACTATAAGGAACTGCATCTGGAGGATAGGTATTCTTATCATGCAGCTTTAAACACCACTTAAAGGACATTTAATTATCCTTATTCTTGGCAGACAAAAGAGGTCTCTGAAAACGCTACAGTTAAAGCAGCACACCACACAAAAAGGACTGTTTACTTCTTTTCCCCAGGCACATAAGTAGTCTTTTAGCAGCTTGAAGCCTAGTTAGTTTGCTTTGTGTAGACTCTCTTGTTCTCATGAAAATGCAGCCTCTTTCTGCTTCTGGTAGAGGTTTGCTAGAAAGACAGATACTCAGATGCTGGCAAACGTCTTGGATAATCTAATACAAGATACTGTCAGAACAGATGGACGACTGCAGTCGACCAAGAGAGGGATTTACATATTATGTACACAGTTATTAAGTAAGAAAAATAATTTTACTTTCCAGGTTTATTTTTTTCTATAGAATCAGTGTACATCTTTGTTAAGAGAGAGAAAAAAGTCAAAGTAGGCATTATGAATGTTTCTGGAACCATGACATCACTGATGACAACTGCGAGCCAATTAAAAATATCCTGCTAAAAAATCTGCATACCAAGGCATATAAATAACTCAAGATGGGGTATTTTTCTTCTTCTGCCACTGTGAAATACACACATGCACACAAATACACACACGCAGACAAGACAGAAGGATGGGGCTCGTGGAAAACGAAGCTCTCAGCGCTATAATGAGTATCTAACACCGCCACATACTGACCTGTGGCTGAGAGCACCTCACTTCAGTGTGTGGTATGTCTGTATTCACAGAGGAAGCTAAATGCACTCTGTTCCACAAGCAGTATAACGCAGATGGGTGGTTTATGCTTGTTTAAAATGCTACTGCTACGGAAGGTAAATGGCAAAGTGGAATGACGCTGGACTTGCCAACCTGCCCTTTTCCTTCTTCCAAAACCAGGAGTGTTAGAATGCACTCACTAGGACATACTGCTCATGGTAAATGCACAGCGAAAGCTGAAATACTAACTTAATGGCACCGTATCTTTGCCACTGAGTACAAGATGTCAATGATGGCAATGTCTTGGGGAGCAGCGCCTGCCCCATCCCTTGGCACACATGCCCCAACAGAGCCTGGAGACTGGTGGCTGGCCCCAGCTGAAGCAGTGCTGGAGGAGCACGCTAAGAAGAGGGCAGCGTGAACAACCAACCTCAGGATGCTGCTGAGAACCAGTGCTAACCCTGTGTTACCTGAATAGATGTAATTTAGGGTCCAGCCTAACATGCTCTGGGGAACTGCATAAATTGGCTCAACACCAGTAAATGTTTACAACCTCAATACTGCAGGGAAGCCTGTCAGGGCAAGTATTTGCACCAGTGAAAGACCTCTTATAGTTAGAATTATTCAGAGCCCAAATAAATACAGCATTCAGAGAGAGGAAGGCAGCCCAGCCTCAGAAGTATAAAATACAGGGCTACATCCTTAAATTATTCTATGGGATATGGTCAGGGAAGAGATTTTTCACGGCTGTTGTTCTTACAAGAACACAACTTTGGGGTTTTACGTATTTTTGTAGAAATGCAGCATATTCTTAAGTTGTTCCAGCTTTGGTTTTGGCTTTATACATATGCACCACCTCATGCAAAGATGTGAGGATTTACTTGCCCTTTATAACACAGCAACTGTTCTTTTTACTGTTCCATTTCCTAAAGAGGGACAACAGAAATCTGCAGGGGAAAATGGTTCAAAAACCAACCAAATGAACAATTTAAGACTCAGGTATACTTTTAAAATGTTGACAGTTTTATGATTTTGGTGGAATTCAGAGGAGGGTAGCGAGGAATATTGTATTTGAAATTTACAAATGCAATGTAAACCCCTCACTTGCTTCCAGAGTAATACCGGAAAGCAAGTATTTTCAAAAACCCTTAAAATCAAACCACCTTTGTTGGTACTGCAGCTAGAAAGTAAATAATCTAATTCTAAGGGACAGCTCAAACCTTTAATTGACTATTACACTGATAATGCTATTTCTCAAAAAACATCCGCTTAAATAAATAGCAGTAAGAAGAGAAGATCTCTTCAACACCAAAATTCTTGAACTGAATCAGAGGTTTTAAAGAAAACAGTCTATCTAGTTGCATGGGTGATGTCTTGAGCAGACAGCGGTAAAAAAATACTGCAGAAGTGGACATCAGGTTACAGATGCTGAGCATTATGAAGTCAGAAGTAGCTGCAAATTGGGTTATGTGATAAATGTGGCTCAAAGTAATTGTTATCATGCCTGCATTTTATATTATCCTGTGTTCACCAGCCCTGCTATGTCCACCACAGGGGACCTGTATCTACACTCCTTTCTATTACCCTACTATGCTGAAAATATCTCCCAGGGCAAATGGTCTTCCCTAACACACATGTTCAGTGCAGACTCCAGCAGCAAGTAAAGAACACCCATTATCTGGTATAAGTGAAACATGCAACATGTGGAACAAGTTTTCCATGGAAGCGTAGAGAGGACATTCAACTGCTTACTTTAGCTCCAAGCTCTTGGTCAAAGATAGGCATTATACAGGTTACACCCAGTTCTCCCTGACTCTGGTAGTTTCTGGTGTTGCTCATTAGAGATGACAGGGATTGAGACTGTCTGCAAATTTGTCGGAAAAAAGAAAGTGTCTGTACATAATCCCTAAGGCCAGGTACTAGCTACCAGAAGACTCCCTGTGACTCTAGCTGATCTGATGGCACCAGCAGCTTGCTGCAGAGAATCAGACAAAAAGGTCCTCTGCACTGACACGAGTATAGAAAACTGCAGGTTTGAGAGGACAAACAGTATGTGTGTTGATATCAGGAAGTATATGCTTGTTTCAACTAGCATATAGAAGTAATCTCTCTTCCCTTCTGACTAACCATTTCTAATATAAGCGTTTGGCTCTTATGCCACAGGCACATTCTTTGGAATTGTTGCTCTCATTGCCTCCCCACGCCCCTCCTAGCAATCCTCCTCCACCTAGTAACCTGGCCAAGTCAATGTGCAGTGTTACAAAAAACCCCCAGAGATTCTTATTCTGTTTTACCCTAGTACTTACATACCAAATGATTTTTAATAGACGCCCAACAAGAAATAAGACAAGTACGTTTGGCTCATGACAATTTTAAGGAAATTTCACTGTGCTCCATGAAGCATCTGTAATTTCTGAGGGGAGAAAAATATTGTAGAGAATTTTGTGATACTTTTCAGTACTGCCAGCTAAAAAATATCTTGAATGCTTGAATATATCACTGCCACCCTGAAAGGGAGAATTTTGATGAAAATATAGGCAATTTAAGTTTTCTTGATTTCTGTTAATTTAACTGAACAGCCTCTAGTAAAGTTTATATTCCTGGCACCTCTGTCTTTCATCCCTCATGCATACTTTCTAACACCCTGATCTGTGGATCAATAGCGCTTGAAACATACAATGTTGAAAAACTACAGCTGTAAAACCAGTACTAGTCAAAAGACATTGCAACTCTGAAAGAGAGATATTATCTCCAAAGACTGCTAAAGTTGTAATTGAAGCAGGTGCAAAATTACTTGTCTGGAACAACTGGGTATATGTATGGTATTTCTGTAGGACCACTGGATAGTTGAGACTCTTCTTACCTGTGGGACCTATAACTTGAGTGACTGCTAGTCCTGCAGGGATTAATTGGAAAGGGGTATCAATTAAGAGTAGTCTTCAGTAGAACAGCTGAGTTCCCGAATATCAGAAGGACTTACTTGCCCCCAAGCTGCTGAGAAGGAATTGCTTCCTCTCAGTCACGTCAAATAAGAAGCTTCAGCAGTCCCAAATGATACCTGATACACCAGCTGGTACCACCGGGGGTCTGAGCTGCATTTCAAGAAAGCAAACGAAGGGACTGACAGTTCAGATGTCAGTCATACCCATCCTGAAGACTGAAACCAGATTCTACAGGTAACAACTCCTTGTGAGCCACTGAAAACGTGAGGTAGGGAAATAAGCTGAAGAAAATTGTATAAGGTCATTATTCTGACCCTTTGAACCCTTAGGTAAGGAAGTAAAAAAAAAGTAGATAGGGGGAAAATCACAGAGACAAAAAAGCTATGAATTGCATCTTACGATGGAAAGAAGTATTTAAGTAATTCAAAGAAAGTACACACAAAGCATAAATTAGAAGACATTTTTGAAACCCAAGAGGACAGAAACTTTCTATATGATTAAAGAGAAGCAAAATGCCTGTCAGAAGAAGAATAAATCAAAAGGTGGGAAAGTTGAAGATGTTTTCCTCTCCTCTACTTTGGTGAGGTTTACTTATTTGGAAGTTGAACTGTGGTGGAACTGATACTCAGGTCTGGGACCTACTCCTCCTGCAAGACAGGGAGGGAGTCTGGGACTGCAGTGGTGCAGAGCTCTGGAGAAACACAGTCAGGTAACTTGGTTCCTTCACAAAAAGTTAGTCTGAGCCAGACCCTAGAGCACTGACACAGAGAAGGAATCATGGAAATGTTTCCTTCCATGAAGAGACTTTGCTGCCTTTGTTTCACCCAGAGAGTTGGAACATGTGAAGGGAGCTGATGACAACCAAGAGCCAAGAATAAGCAAGGCCTGCAACAGCTTCTCCCAGAGAGGCGCTCATCTCTACCAAGCTTCTGTTTTGGAATCTTCTGGCCTGAGGGGAGAATACAGGTTTGCATATAAGGTACCATCTGAAGACAGCTAGAGGCAATGGATAATGGCAACACAGAGCAGAGTAACTTGAAGTAAAATATCATCTCAAAATTTCCTGCCCTTTCTGCAGTTTTGATCCAACACTGACTCCCATTAAATACGTATATAATATTTATGTTCTGTAAGACAATGAAGGTAATTCAGAAGTATGCAAAACTAATTTTTTTCATTGTTGTGTTGGGCAGAAAGAAGAATGCTTCACCTTCTCCTCTTACTTTGGTGTCACTCTGCTAAACAGTACTGAGAGAGTCCTGCTGTTAAAAAGCAACTTCAGAAAATAACTGCTATCTCTAAACTGGTAGACAGCTCACATTCTTACTCTGTCTCAGAATCCCATCTATCCCATTACACTTTATTTATGCAGAATTTTTTATGCAGAGAGATTGGTTCATCGCTGTGAAAGACACCTGTGAAAACACAACTGTATTACCACACTAAAAAGTAGAAATTATAAAGATACCTTCAGCACATGAGTGCAGTTAATACTTCCTTTCAGAATGTCTGGCTGAATTCTACTAGGGCACCTTGTCCACTGACCTCAGGTCAGCAGTCAGGCAGGCTCTCTCTTCTGTTTGGTCTTTTCTGTTCCAAAGGAGCCAAAGCAGCCAGGGGAGAACCTCAGCAGCTTGGCCTGGCAGAATTTCTTCCAGGCTCTCTCACAAGAAATGAAAATAGTTCAAGCCTGGTTGAAGCTTTGAGGTTCTCTCAAATTTCTGCTTCCTTCTGAAGGATAAACAAGAGGTAACAAGAATGTGCTGTATGTGTTGGTTATTTAGCCTGCACGCAGCAACTTTGGTGTACCAAGGGGTTTTAATCTTTGTGTAAATATTATAGCCATTCACAGCAATGCTTTAGGGGAGAAACAAAGAGATTTATTCAGCTGAAACCACAGGGAGAATGTCAATAGACATAATGCAATTGCTTGATTTGGAGTTTAGTCCGGATCCTTGTTCCGATCAAATGAACTGTGGAATGTTTTAAAACAGCTCGTTGTTTGTTTTGGGACAGCGTAAGAGAAATAGGGAATGGACTACTACAGAAATATTTGTGCAGTGACAGGGAAGAAATGGCAGAAAGAGCACTGAACAGGGATGAGGGAGACCTAATTTATTCCCAGCCTTGCCTGTGGCCTGGTGGGTGACTCTAGCTAAGTCACTTCACTGAATGGTTTCCTCATGTATCAGATGAAGACACTATCACTCTTTTCAAGCACACTTTGTTTCTAGTGGTAGAAACCAACATGCTATCAGGATGGATGCTGCCATGACAGAGTTCTCCTGGCATACATTTTGCTGTCTGGAAGACCTACAATCACCACAAAAGCAACATGAAGTTCCTCAGACAACTTCCACTGTAGGGCATGTGGCTGAAGCCCTGTGTGCCTGCAGGCTGTGGGCTGGGGAACCATCCAGAGAGAGCTCCTGCAGTGGGATATTGCCAGCCCTGAAATTTCCACAAGTGAAACAGAAGGCAAGGAAAATCTTCAAGCAGTGCAGCATGAAACATGCTCAGCACAGAGATGAAAGACCAAAATCAAGGCATAAAACTTGTCACTCCTAGTGAACAGACTGGCAAATGTTATGAAATTCTTTTAAGATGTTAACTGAAGGATTCTTTTTAGGATAGATGGCAACTACATTCTCAGTTTACTCCACCAAGCAAAACTACAGTTGATGTTTTCAAGCATCAAGCATCTGTCTGAAGTGGTCACAAATGTAATCTCTAAATTTTGTAAATGCTTTCTTGAGGCAGAGGATCTCCATGGCAGGGTACTCTTTCATTACAGATGCCAAAGGAGCACAGTTCCACTCACAAACTGCTCTTCATGTAATTGTTTGTTTCTTGGCTTTCTCTATGCTTGGCCCTCTAGCTCATTTCAAACCCATCCAAACAAGTTACATATTTTTGCTTCTCTTTCTGAAAAATCTAGACAAAGAACCAAGAATTGAAACTGTAATTAAAAAATGAATAGATGCAAAATGCAAGGTAGTAAAACTTAGTGAAATCATCAATATATGAGACAATTTCACATGTAAAGCACCAATAATTATGTTCTGCCACACTACTTTAAAAGACATTCTTTCTCTACTGGAAAAAAAAAATAAACAGGGGAACAAAATTTGATCTGTGAAGTTATCACCTGGGAAAAACCGAATAACTAAATTATCTTTTTAAAAAATAAAAAGAAATTATCAGATTTAAATCAAAGAGTTCCGCAAAAAGTGTCCGAACATTCTGCCAAAAATTCAGACTGCTTCATCAGCTTTGTATTTATGTCTGTTACTACAAAAGAGGTCCCTCTGAGGTAGCGTGAATGTGATTGAGTAGGTATTTTTCCTTTGGAATATATGCAGTAGCTAATAAGCCCATGTAAATTGTTTCCAATCAAATAACTTAAGGAGTTGCTATTTAAAACTGATCAAAACTGAACAGAAAAATAGGTTTCTCACTCTTGATGAAAGTTTCGGCAGATTCAGGAAGTAATTCTAAGTAATTATTCTAATAAAGTAACTAATTAGTAAGTAATTAATTTTAAGTAATTATTTACAAGCCAAAATGCCTGCCCACTTCAGTTTTGCTTCAGTGAACATTCAAATCTCAAGGAAAGCACTGAAGTCCAGAAATCTTACATCCCTGCAGGTTTTCATTGTACCAGAACATCATTTTCCAAACACCCTGTTCCCTTTAACAGATGGAAGTCAACAGATAAAAGGTCCCAATTTCCCAATGCAAGAGGTGGCAAGGAAGCAGACGTGTATTTGGAACTGTAATAGGCTATCAGACTGTATTGGTTTCATGAGCACTGGTAATGTTATTAGTCGAGTAATGATAAGCAGTGACAATGAACAATGGATGGAATACAGTTCTGATGAGCCATACCTAGCTCCTTTTGTATGTTGTCAGGGATTCCTGTAATAGTCTTTCTCCTTTTGACTTTCTTCGGCCGTCTTACCACCGTGTCTGTGTAAATAAGAGACCGCCGAATGCTGGCCTGGCGGTCGAAATTCTCCCCTAATACATGGTAGAACAAGCAAAGCAACATTACTTCCAAGCACACTGACATGCACTTTCTTCCACTAGTTTTGTTGTAGAAATGGAAAAAAAGGCATTAATAAATGATGTTAGCTTGGTCCTACAATGAAGGTTTACACTGAGAGAAGATACAGCACATTGTCACATCGTAAGGCTTTAGACGCAAATATCCACTACAAGCTTTAAAAGGAATTTTGACTTCCTGAGCCCAGTTCAGATTTGGTGAGATCAGCTCTAATTTCACAAGCAAACAGACTCCTTGCTTTAATTTGGCCCTTCAGAAGTTTTTGGAATGGTTTTGTTATTTTATTTTAAAGTAATGAGCTGTAGAAAAAGCAAATCTGCTCATGAAAGTGAAAGATCACAATGGTTATGCAGGAACAGACATTGCTATTGGCAATAGTTATTAGGTCTTTGCACAGCTCCATCATTAAATCACATGAGACCCTTCTTTTTCATTCCCAGTTGCTCTGAACCTGTCAAGGGTACCACATTTCTGGTGGTGATCTTTTAACACGAATACAAATAAGTACTATGGAGCATGCAGAGATCAAACTGATCTTGTGGACTCATAAATATTTCAGAGTGAAAGATGATTAAAATTGAAACTTTACAGATGAATATAAAAATAAACAATGCCAGGAGCTGAAAAAAACGCGTGTCTAAGTGCATGCTGCCAGACAAAGCCTTATGATGACCACGTGCTGTATCGTAATGGGACCCAGAAGCACCACTATCATTAAGCAGCTTTTCTTTAGGAATTCACTTCTGTTTAGAGGTTTATAATTTGGCCATTTTACTAGTAGTAAGATAAAGCTTCCCTACAGACTGTGAGTTAATTAATTCTCTGTCCCATCAAAAACTCTAATGACAACCCCCACAGGTCACTTTTAAGTTTCCTCTTCAGAGGAAATTACTGTTAAATATCCTTTATATGACTCTTTTAAAACTTCAAGGCAGAAAAAGCTTGATATATTTTACCTTTGTATATATTTTTTTACCTTTGTACACTGTTCTTGAAAATTGATGACCAAATTATTTACCTCTAAAAAGTGATTAATGCACAGTAACAAATACATCATAAATATTAACTCTGGCTGACTGCACATCTGTATGATGTGTGTCATGAAAACAGCATAGAAAACCCCATTACCTCTATAACAGTTAAAGACACCATCACATATTAAAGTATAGCATGTGGACTTGTGAAAAGGCAATGAAAAACGTAGCAATTTCATTCACCACGTTGTAAATACAAAGACTGACTCTGTTTGACCATAGCCTTGACCATGAGCTGCAGCTGTGCTAAGCAGATCCTTGCAGTTACAAAGAAGTGCCAGTTACATCTAAGTTTTGGATTGACTGAAGTCTGGCAGATGAAGAGAGGAGGAAGCTATATGTGATCTACAAAATTTAGAGTCATTGATCCCACTGGCTTAGTAGAAGCCCTAAAATATTAAGACAGACTATCCACTGGGGACTACTAGGATGTAGGACCCATCTGTGGTCAGGGTCAGGACATTAGGTTATTCTACATGGTGCACTACAACAAATCCAAAGAATTTGAAGGAGAGAGTTTTGCATTTCTGAACATATCTTTATCCATTCAAAGGCCAACAATTATGCCTGAGATGGTGAGTTGCAAGTAAATTATAATACAGCTTTGAATGCCCTGGAATAAAATCTGAGTGGTAAGTAGAGGGTGCAAACAAGGAGAGAGTATTTTATACGAAGCCTCAGACAGCATAAACTAGATGGCAATAGGGAAATGTTACTGATCCCCAGTAACTTCTTCCAGTGAGCTACCTAAGAGCTAACCCAACCAATCCATCTTCAATTTTGATTTTGATACACAGAGGCCACTACACAAATTTGCAGAATTTCAAAGTAGCGGCTTCTATGAAATTTAACAAGCAAAATCAGAATGTTTCAGTCTTTTTTTCCTTCTTCATTTTGTTTTAGAAAATATCAATGCTAATTTAAATATGTTTTACAGATTTAAGAATACTCTTCTCCTTCTGTTATACGTTTGTCACAAATCAACTAAGTATTCCTTAAACACTTTACTCAGTTGTCCCTCATGCAGTACACTGTTTTCCTTGGATTCACTGAAAACATTTAAGTGTGCTTAAATCTCACTGAAGTCAGTCAAGCTGGATTCAAGAAAATGCTTAAATGTTTTGCAGGATCCATCCTGGCACTGATCACCTTCACCATTATCAGATTCCTCCATCTGTAAAGAAAGTTAGTTCCATAAAACCCACAAGAACAGACACCATTATACATCTTTTAAGCCCCAAGATACGTAAAAGCAAAGACTAGCCACCACTGAGAATTCAGTCCAACCCCTTCCAGGCCAGAATAAAGTTCAGCCCAGGCACTCCCAAAGATTGAAACTACTTCCAAATCTGGATGTCTAGCCAGCAGCTTGTCAGCCTAATGCAATGCCCCTGCACCTTCAGGCTATCCAACAGATTTTTACGACTGCTGTATTAGTTGCAATCTGTTCACCAAAGAGACCGAAAACTGAACTGATGTAGCATTTATTGCACAGCCACGTGAGAGGCCATTGTAGGAGAATCATTACTAATGCACTGCTGAAAACATTATCAATTGCTAGCAACCTCTTCAGAGGTTAACCTTTTATTTCATGCCAGAAGTAATAATATAGAAGTTTTTTGAACACTCTTCTGAGAGAGCAAGAAAGAGAGCATGTGAAGGAAAAAGCCAAATCAAAACAAATATTCTCAATGGTTTGTTCCACGGTACGTTGAAAAAACAGCACAGAGGTTTTTGTCAGTTTTTTTCCTGCCTCACGCAGTAACATAAGGAACTTCACAAAATAAAATTACTCGGTGTGTGGGAGAGCAGAGGAGGGGAGCAGATTGCGACTTTTTAAAGAGGAACAAGGACAGCAGCTTCTTCTGTATGTTGTGTGTGGTTCATGTTGCTTGCCTTGTTTTACAGTAGCAATATAATTATTTCAAGGGAAAGGGAAGGGTGGATCCTGGAGACCGGTCCACATGCTGCAGCAGCAGTCTTCCTTTACTGCCCTCCTCTTCTATCTGTTCCAATTACCATGTTTATAAGGGAATAAGTGCTCAACCACACACTCCAGAAGGGTGAAGGATAATATGCACGTGCCCCATTCCATTCAGGAAAGCTGAGAACTGCTGAGTTATTTGAGTGCAAGCTGAACAACTCAGGGGACACAAGGTTTGCTACGCCAGTTGAATTATGCTGGTTGAAGTCACAAGTGTAATTTATCCAAACACAGTAGGGACTAACTTCGGAACTAACTTCCCAATGATGCTGAATTAAATCTAAATCGATCCTTTCACCTCATTCTTCTTTCCATCTGTTTACTTCCTCCATATATTTTGCAGTACACAGGGTCATTAAATCAAACAGCAGATTACTGTTTCTCTAAGTACACCTTGTTCCTGTTGTCACAATATCCAAGCCCTACTCAAGCTTATTGATTAGGTCAGATTATCCACTGTTCCCCTCTAACTTGGCCTTCTGCACCAGTATTCTAAATTCCCTATACAACGTCAACTGGCCCAGTAGCATTTCAGCACTGCATTTATTTTCTTTCTATTAATTTTCCAGAGATGGGGTGTTCATAATTTTCTATTGTCTTCATGCTGTTTATTTCTATTATTTTCTGCTATTTAAATAAATATTTCTAGTTGATTTCTCCAAGCTTGCTGATGTTTGCTACAGAAGTCCCGCTCCTATACTACTAAAATGTTTAAATACTATTGAAGAATACTATTTAAAATACTAATTTATAAAAGCATAGGCAAAAAAAACAGGGAAAGAGAACCTAATTTACTTTCAAAACAAAACCACATTGCAAGCTATTGATTGTCAGAGTAAGCATAGAATCAGAATGTGCCATATGGCATTTGAAATAAATTGGATGTTGAGTATCATCTTGGGTTTGGCAGGCAAGCGGTCAGTTATTTGAATTAACTAATAATAGACAATTTTGATGCTGTGCAGAAAAAGAGGGGTTATTAAATTGAAGCAATAATTCTATCTTTCACAGAAATTCTATTTTACACACAACCAAGTATCTCTTCAGCATCAGGCTTTAACGTAATTTACAGAGCGAGAGTTCTGCAACTGCAAAACCGAAGAGCATTTTCAAAATGAATACATAGTTCATAACAAGAAAATGTGGACTACAGTTATGTAACTGGAGTGCCTTACCGAGAGTCTTGCTCAAAGGTGTAGCCTCATTAACTTTTGCTGTTCTAACCTTACTCTCCTTGATCACTAAATCTCTTGTTGCTGATAAAAGTAAGACCCGAAAGGTTTTTTTTTTTGATTTTTGTAACATTTAGTCTTTGGAATACAGAAGTCCCTGATAACCTTCCTTATATAAAATTCCTAGAAGAAAATCCTGAAATATCATTAGCATTGGATAAAACATGATTTTCCATTACATATCCTCAGTGCACTTCACAGAAAAACACTGCTGTTTATCAGTCGTCTTCTTGTATTTCATGAATGTCTAATGCCATTTCAAGCCCACATAGTGTAAACTATCTCCATTAATGATAATTTTAAGGGATTTTGACGTTTTCTAATTAAGTTCACAGATAGACTATTTAACACAAACCATTGTTTTCACAGAAAGGTACAGTAAGTAATTTAAAATTCATGCATCAAATATATGAGTGTCAAAATACTAGCTGACTGTATGGATCCCCTTTTATCCCTTCCCTCCCTCATCAGTGTAATGCAATTACTGAAATTAAAAGCCTACCAGTCACATTAATAGGAACCACATCTGTTTGAACGGCCTGTGCTTGTTGTCGCATTTTCTCTTCTGGAGTTGGCAGTGGGAGTGACTTGGTCCAGTTGGTTTGAGTGTTGATATCTGACAACTCATTTGAAGCTGGACTTTTAGGTCTTTTGATGGTAATAAGTTTTTCCTCTTCAGGGGGAGAGACAGGACACTACAAACAGAAAAACATGAAACAATATAAGTTTACCACTGCTAATGAAAAGCAGAACTATGGGACTGCTAAGGTGTTGCTGCTGCAGTCAGCACAATTGTTTGTGGAGCAGAACATACCCTCACAAATATCACACTTTGATCTACATAAAGAGCAATTTCAAAAACATGTAAAAACACACAACAAAACACCTAGACTGTATTTATTCCAGACATCTGGTATATATTACTTAAACTGATCAATGAGAGAGAAAAAGAGCGATCTTGAGCATAGCAAAGTACACTATATTACTTTATACACTGACATAATTCCTGCCTGCACCCAAGTTTGCCTTCCCTTCCCTTCCTCTCTCCGCTCCCTGTGACCTATTAGGAAGATGACATTTGACCACTGCTTTGCTCCAGCTGCACTAGGTTGTAAGGATACATAAGAAGCCTCTTTTGAAAAGACAGATTTTAGCAGAGCTCAGTAAAAGAGTCAATCAACACAGTCCACAAAATCATCAGCCTTGGATCAGTGAGGTAGGAAGAATAACTTTGGTCTTGGAGAAACTCGCCACAGTTCAAGGGGTTACCTGTTTTTCAGGGGTGAAGCAGTTAACGTTATCAGTAGCCACAGAATGGTCATTTTAAAAGTCAGTCCTTCTGAAAGGGGCAGATTTCAATTCCTTGATGTGTTTTACTTCAAAAGAAACCCAACCAACGAAACAAAAAACTTTCTGCACCACAACAAAGAGTGGTTGCAACAGCTTGTGCAAATCCCTCCACCAAAATTAAAAGCCAAAAAAGCCATTTCCTTTTGGGGAGAAAATCTGTTTTCATTACAAGGTCCTTGCCTGCATGTCAGTAGTGGCAGAGAAAGCCATAATGCAGCTTTTTACTGACAGTACAGTACTAGTCTGTGGCAAACACTGAGGGCAAGTAGATTCGGGGTACACAGAAGACATCGCTGGGGCTTCTCACAAGTGGTCATAAACTCCAAGCAAATCTGAGAGGAGCAGCCTTCTCTCCTCCCCACTCCTGCCAGCAAGGCACTTCAGGGAATCTCAGAAGCAGGAGAGGAAGGAAGACCTGGAGGAAAACCAACCTCAGTCTCCTTCTGCCTCCAGGCAAAACAAAAAAGAGAAGAAAACCATGGAAGAGGAGTTGCACAGCAGTTGCAGCACTAGCAGAGATCTCTTTGCAACCTGCTGACTCCTCTGCTTCAGAGGTGTTTGCTTTAGGACCTCCCTCCCTATCACCAGACCAGAATTACAGTCCTTCCTTCCTCTTTATTCCTTTCTCCATTTGGAGAGCCAAATACTACTCGAAATATGGTTGTCATTACTAGACCACTGCCTCTCCCTCCCTCACTGCTGTGCACAGGCATGGAAAGAAACATTATAGCTATTTATAACAGATAGATTTTTTTTTTATATTGTTGTGGGTGTTCAGTCTAAGCGATCTGTTTTCTCTTGAAGCTGAGTGCTATACAAAAGACATGCCCAAACACTGTGCCACAACTGCTGTTCATCATTTCTGATTTTAATTTTCTTCCTGTTACTATGAGGAGTTCCCACTGTTTATAAATAAATAACCATTTATTTATTCTATTATGCTTTGCCTCTACATCCTTTAGGATAGGGTCCAACATTTCACTTAATGGAAAACAAAAATAATAGCAACTTGAAGGCAAAAAGTAAAAGAACGGAGAAGTAAAACCTCTTCAAGCAATACTAAAAGAAACATTGCAGGTAATGAAATTATTACTAATGTCATCCTGTCTTTTGGAACTACACTTCAAAATACGGGAATTTTTCTTTGTAGAAATAATCCATTTCTGGCAGCCTTGAATTTCTTTATTAGAGAGGCTGTGAATAGGATCGATGTTGCTGTGTAGGTAAGGGCTAAGCCCTGTGGAAGACCCAGCAATTTTATCAATGCAACCTTCTTAGAGGACATTAGTATTTTTTCAGGCCTCCACTGCTTCTAAAAGGCTCTAAAACCCATTTCTTTACAATAGGATGTAAATGTTTACCTTCTTAGTACTGTGCATACACAGTACGTTTACACACGTACATGGTGTAGGCACACACGTATGTACTGACACGCAAACAAAAGGGTTTTCCCACCTCAAATCACACAAATTCATGAAGACCTTTTTTAACTTAGGCAATTTTGGATAGAAATAGCATTGTAAAAGGGAAAGCTGCCTCCAGGTCACGCTTTCCCGCAGTTAGGTTTAAAAACTGAGAGAGAGGGAGAGAGAGAGAGGGAGAGAGGGCAAAAGGGTTTGTATGGAATGAGCCAAAGGGGTGCCAGCCGAGTGTCACAGCAGAGTAATCAGGGGTTGAGGTAAAGAAATACTGCTTTCCTTGTTCTACAATGAGCTTTTCTCCACCTGAACTGGGGCACCAAGGGAGACACCTCCAGCCTGGTTTTGCAGTTTGTCTGCGGTCAGGATGAGCTCCAGTGACCTTCAAATACTCTGCTTGGTTGATACTGTGAGCATCAGTATCTGTCACGTTCAGACTGTACTGCAGTGCCAGGTCTCAGCTGAAATACAGCATTTACCAGGGGTTACTTCAATATGTCAAGTGGCAGAGATACTGGTTACAAAGTCACCCTTCCTTTTCAAGGAAATTACCCAAGACAAGCAGAAGACCTTTTTTTTCTTACAGTATATGAAAAGATATAAAAACCAAGTAAGTGAAGCATCTACTACAAGGGAATACTAACTATCCAAAAAATGTGGAAATCACAAATTTTGCAAAATTAAAAGTTGAGAAAACGGGAGATAGATGGTATAAGACAGACAGAAATGAAACAAACCAGTGAGCAAATAACCAATGAGAAGCAACTGAAAACCCAACTGTGCAGTTGATTTCAAAACAGTGTGTGAGAATGACCTTCTGTCAGTTGTGTAGCTGAGTTTAAAGCAGTGTGTCAGTGAGAATGACCTTCTGCCATAGTATAGAGATGTTCACTTTCACAAAATAATTCAGTAAAAGAGTTGGAGGTGGTTTGGGGTATAGGAATATACTTACATCCTTTCTTCCAAAACACTCTCAGTGATGGGAGTATAGGCATGACAAAGGTGTATGCAGCTTTCCCGCACACAAAGGAAAGCAGCAGCTCATCTTTCAGCTTTCTTCAGACAGAAATTATTTACCTCTATAATCAGGATGAAAATCTACAGGGAAAATCACAGGGTTTCACATATTTTTAGCAAACATTTCCACATTTACAGCCCAGAAGCTTGCTGGAAGACAAACTGCTGCTGTGTGACAGGAATGTCTCCTCAAGTAAGGTCTGTTACACCAGAAGTAGAACTAGGCAGTACCTTGAGAATATGTATCTGCTTAGCAAAGTTGATCATAAATTTTATTTTCATAAAATAAATAAATAATAACGGCCAGTCTTCACAAATGAAGATCCGGGGAGGTCTTTATACCTTCCAGCCTGTGCATTGGATTTTTTAGGTGAGACACAGTGTGCGCGGAACTGAGCCCACCCTTTAATCCTAAGGTTCATCTGCGGGGGCCAAGCGAGCTTGGACAGTGGTAGCGAGGTCCTCAGGATGTAGATGTCTTGCCTTACAGGGCTAACGAGCTCCATCTGCCCGGGGAGTGGCCCTGACCGGGAATCAAACCCGGGTCTCGGCAGAGACAGCGCCGCGGCCTTAACCACTAGACCACCAGGGGCTCCCTCTATGTTCATAATAGAACGGAAAGTACCCGTCCAATTTTTAAAGCATCTCTGAGTCATAGTAACTTTACTGTTTGACTTAAATGGGTAAGTTTCTGTGCAACAGGTTGATACACTCATCTCAGCAGGAAAATTTGTTGGGATTCATTCTTTTTCATGGACATGGTAAGAGGGAAAGGTGGGGCGTGTGAGCAGCATTCTTGCACCCTGCAGTGTTTCCATGAACATGCATTAGAGGGGAAAAAGCATGAACTTTCAAATGGGAGTTAAAATTAGAATCCAGGAGAAAAATGGCCCGTAAATATCCTATAGACAAGCTATATGGCTCAGTAAGTCAGAGCCTCTCCAACGCCTTGTTGATATATTGTCCCCCAGCCAACTCAGCTGCTGAGATACAACAAAAGGGTTTCACTATCTCAGCACATTCATGCTATTCGAGACGTCCCAGATGACAAATGAGTTTATGCTATGTATCTTGCAACAGTCTCTGCCTAGATAATCTGTTTATTCTAAATATTTTTTATGTTCCAGGGGTTTATACTATACTCTTTGAAAAGGGATGGGACCTCCAAGAGGAAAACTCAATCCACACAAATTTTACTTTTCAGCAAAGGGACTTCAAACTTCTAGTCATGTAATTTACCCTCCTGTCTACTACAACTGTTTATAAAACCATGATTTCTCATAAAAACAAAACAGAGAAAAAATCAGTGTTGGAGAGAGCAGTCATACCATTCCAGCTGTCTATTATGTTTGCCAACATCCTATTTCTGCTCCAGCATTTTACAAGGTTTGACAGCTTCGAGTGCCATTTTCCCAACGCAAAGGGATCAGGACAAACAGTAACAGGGAAAAGAAACCCAAGATCCAAACCTGGTCAACTGAGAATGGCACTTCACATGCCTAATTCAGCCCATGGGATTTCACACTGTGTTACGGAACATAGCGTTATACATGTTATGGTTATTTACATGAATTTACACTTCACACGAATTAGTCATGTCTTACTCTATTTTGTGTCCACTAGCAATGGTCACCAGTCTGGACTCCCCAGTTTCCACAGAATATTCCATTTTATTACTTCTACACACAGATCTTCAGTTGTACTAGCCAACTTCGCTATCCTATTAAATCCTTCATTTCATAACCTTCACTGTCTCAGTAAGGAAGAAATTCTTTTGTCAGCAGAAATTACTGACTATCAAGCAAGTTATCACCTTAACCAGAACTGCAGAAATGTTCCTTTCTTCTTCTTCTGCTCTGTTGCTACATGATAAAAACCGTAAGAACAACTGTACTGTTTGGAGTTCTAAAAGCCTATCTAGTATCTGCCTTAAAATAATGACTAATCAGTGATATACAGGTGAAATTTAAATCAGAGGATGGAGTCCTACCCTTCCAAGAATGTATCTACTTGCTTTCTAAACCCGTGTAAACTTTCAGTATCCACAATTCCTGCAGCAGCTGCACAGTGTGAGTACGTGATGAGTGAAGAATTACCCTCTTCTCTTTGTTCAAAGATTTTCTGTACTCACTTCCTTAAGCTCTGGCATTTCATGTATTACAAGCTGCTGTCCCAACTCAGTAAACTGAGCAGCATTTAAAAGAAAACCCTTGCAAATGGTATAAAATGCATGTGTTGCTTACAAGAGCAACACCATGCAACTGCAGCAGAGGGGCAGGGAGAACAGCTGAGGACACCACCACCACCACCCAGGAGTATCTTCAGCTCTGCTAGACCCCGTGCCTCAGGGCTCTTGGGCATTCCCACCTCCAAAACTGAAGCACCCAATTGCTTTATCTCCTCTTAACACCAAAGTTTTGGATTAGACCTCCTCAAGTCTAATGCGGTTAGCACATTTGTTTTCACTTAAGATACTGAACAGTCTCTTGCAGATATTGGAAAGACAACTAACAGTTTAGCTGAGCAGAGTGGCAAAATTACACTTTGTTCCCCCATGAATAAGCAAAATAAATGTTTTTTTTTTCACCCAAAGCATAAGAGACTGTATCAAGGCAAAGTTCATAAGCCAAATGACAGGACCTAGGGAAAAATACTGTGAGTTCTTGTCACACAAACATTTTCATAGATAGAATAAAGACAATACACTGCATGCCTGGGAACAGGTACTCTCTAGCTCACATTCATCCATTAAGAAAAATGCATTCCTCCCAACTAGTAGAGGTTTTCTTTGGTTTTCTTTGGCTAATTAAAAACCAATGTAGCCAATTAAATAAAACACAGTGTCCACCACGGGAAGGGTTTTAAAGGAGGCAAATGTTAATAGACAAAAAGGAAATAAAAAATTCAGCAAAGCAAGTAAATATAGGATACTGTTCTGCAGACAAAAAGGAGTAGAGACAAAAATAAAGGAAACAAACCTGGCATGGCACTCTTCTGTTGAGCAGCTGGGTTTTTTAACTGCCTTTTTTTTTAAGCAGAAAAAAGAAGCAGGTAAAGACTGAAGCCTAAGAGCGGAGTAAGACTGCGTATATACTAAACACTACAAGTAACATCAAGCTGCAGATACGGCAGCTGGATGGTCCCACTCATGGGCAAGGTACCTTGTTGTTCCAGGGAACCAAGTTACAGCAGGCGCTAATGCAAGACTGAGAGATGCAGTCTAACAGACTAGACTGTTGAGTGAGACAAAAAGAAACAAAGAGAATGAGTGGTAAAAAGGGAAAGATAAAAGAATAAGAAAAAAAACACACAAAAGATAAATACTGTTAATATACACAATGTATACATTTCAAAACATAAGGAGAACTAGAGTTTGAAAGCAACATTTCAATATACCTTTTACACTGTTAAAACAGAGCAATGCTGAAGGACAGGAATAGCTCCCAAGTTGTGTAACCAACAGCAGTACAAAAGAGATGAGAAAGGAGCAGACTGGTCACAGCACTGAGATGTAATACCCAGGTAAACCAATTTAATCACCAACAAACTCAATTAGGATCAGTATTACAGTGGAACTTGGCCTGTGCTCCATTAATCTAACTTGTAAGAATCAACATTAAAAGTAAAAGAGTAGTTTCAAGAACTTAATTTTATATCAACTACCATTCAGAGACTCCAGCTTTCTATGTTCTCTAATTCTGTTTGCTTGGGTTTGAGTTGGACTTGCTTCTCCCTATTGGTTTTCCTTTGGAAAAGCAAAAGTTCTGCTTATCAAAGACATTTTCTAAGACTCACACTGAACCAATGTGCTTTGTGGCATGACTATTACCATCTGCTGACAGACATCCACCTCCACAAAATCTGAGAATGCTTATGGCTTGAGGTCTCCTCTCATACCACCTAGCCATGGCTTCAGATCATCCCTAGTATAGACAGACAAGCAGAATATCTGGCTATGTTTCTGTCTTCGAAGCAGATTAAAAAGAGTAGGGAAAGATGGTTTCCCTTGTGAAACCACCATGCAGTAACACACTGTTTCTTCTACAAGTTGGCAATTATAACAACTAAGAAGTAAGTTTCCTAACAGTAAATAACTATTCATCCACGCATCATTATTCTGCTGTTCTCAAATTTCAACTATTAAGTGCTGCATGCACAGAATTTAAATGTTGGCTTTTTGGCTTTGAATAGACAACAAAGCTACAAAGCTTTCATCTAGTGGTGAGGAGTTCACATTTTGAATCACAGGATTTTTGGTGACCCCAGTTCCACACTGTTACTGAAGAACTCTCCTGACAGCTGAAATATGACTCGATCGAGGCATAAGACTTATTAGAATTACTTGGCACTTGACCAGTAGGATAATAATTCAAGTTCAGAAATTTGTTGTGGTAAACGTTCATTTAATAAAGAGTAGAATTTTTTGCCGTTACAAAAACAAGAAAAAAAAAGCTAATTAAACAAAGATATTGGTCAAAGGACTCCACAAAACACTGAGTTATACAATATGAATGGAGAATCACGATACAGTTTACAAGGAATTAATAGCTTTCTGAGTTGCAAGTAAGAGTGGCAGGGTTAAGGTTCTGAGATAATCAGTAACAGCCAAGACTGTCAGTTTGGCAGCTATCTTTCTCCACAGCTCTGAATCATCCTTTCAACTAAAAATATTTAAAGGAACCTATTTCCAATTTAAATGGAAGTACCATCCTACCCTTGAAGTGCACTTAGTCGAATTATTTTTTTACAGAATGCACAGAAATTGTAACACATTAACACTCAAAAAAACCCTTAACCATGAAAAGGATGACAGTTCTTAGTCTCCAAGAGTCCTCATGCAGGCTTATATGCTTCCATTCAAACTGTCCAAGAAAAGTGTATTTATATTTTTTAAATGTCACATTAGTTTTAAATGTGCAGATGGTTGTATGCTGCACAGCACTGGCCAAGACCAGACAACGACATATATGTGTGCATATATGTGCAGTACCTTAATAGCAACAAACAATGTGTTAATACTTTCCCCAGTGAATTTCTACTGATTTCAGTTTTGCAAATTATCATTATAATGCATTCCACAGTACGAATGTGCTTTACATTCTCGGCTCACTGCCAGTACATACCACACACAGCTAAACAAGATGCTCTAACATTTCCTGCCAATACACAGATAAATGCTATCACCACCTGAATGAGAGACTGTACATATTTCACAACACCTTTTACTATGTAATTAAAAGACATAGAGGACAGAACTGAAAAAACTTTACCCTTTAAAGCGTGTTCTCAAGGTCTGCACATTTTGCTGAGAGACAGAGTTATTTGGTCCATACTATAGAGGCACATATGGTTTAGTAACAATTAAAAAAAATTTGACTGTGTTACAATCATGGATATCCTCCCACTCTCTAAGCAACAGTAGTTTTTGGCAAACTATTTCAGAATATCTGTCTTGAAAACTGCAGGAGCTCCAGCATTTCAGCTTTGGACAGCCAGGCTCCAGTGCATCTTGCTCTCCACCCAGCAGTAATGTCCTAGACCACAACACCAAAGTCAGCTTCTCCTTCAGAGCCCACAAGCACAAGAGGGTAAAGTACTGACAGGGGAGTAGAATTTCTCTTCCTCTTTAGAACACTAACACAACTTGCTAGTTCTGTAATTAAAATGTATATAAATTGATGTATATAGCAATATGCCTTCACAACTTCCTAAGGACTTGTGCTCAACTATCCCTTCTCTTTATTTATTTCTTTCTAGATTCTAAGCTAAGCACTCCAGAGTTGAGATGTGGGAATATAACCTTGAAAATCAAGAAGTAAACTGAAAGCAAGCTGACCCAATTTAGTGGGCAGTCTTCATTTTCTGGATGCCTTCAGCAAAAACTGTGATACATTAGGACAAAGCCTTTACCTAAGTGCATAACTGCCTGTATTAGCAATTCAAAGTTTGCACCTACCCAAGTTACCATTCGGGTATGCTAATGGTTGGTGAATAGCTCTTCCTGCTACTTAAATGTAAACACTTTACAGCTACCCTTGCTGGGGTCTTCCCTCCAGAACATCACCAGACTTCTTCCTTCTTTCATATCCTGAACCTGTCAGTGGGAACTTTGTATCAGTGCATGGGAAGAACTGGGATTTTTAAGGGACCCTACAAGTCAGGTGAGCTAATATCACTGTAATTCAAAGGAATAAACATCTTTGTGATCTTCTAAAAATCCTGCCTTATTTGAAGAGTATTATGAGAGGCAATTAAACTGCACCAAACAAGTTTTTTTGCCAGCACTTTGCCCCCCCCCTGCCCCTTACCTTTTGTTCAATTTCTTCATAATCATCCTGGTAACTTCCACATATTGCACTGGAGGATGAGGAGAAGGTGGGGCCCTGAGAGTAATACTGCGAGCTCCGGTAGCCATCCCGTCGCAGCTTGTCACACTCTGCCGGAAAGAAAGAGAGGAGATTAATTCATGGCAAGAGCCATTACTGTTTACGCTTGGTGTACAAAGCCACTTAAGCAGTCAATACTTTTCTGAAGACGTTTACCATGTGTTAGCATTGTCTGACCAAGCAACAGAACCCAAAGGTGCATTTATCATATTTGTATCTACATTTCCGCCTCCCTCACATGTATTATACACGTAAGCCCACACATAGCGTATTAACCCAGGCGATGGCAAGTGCTCTGGAAAAAAGGGAGGAATAGATTTATTTATTTATTTAAGTGAGGCCTGGCTCAGTGTCTTGACAGATGGCAGCATCTTGCAGGATGGGAGATGGAAGCATGTGAGTAACACCAGGGGTCTCATTTGCCAGGCCGGTAGACATCTCTTATATGCCTTACACTTCAAATGATGATGTTGCTTGCTACTCAAACACCATCTGCTAAATAACTTTGGCACTGACCACTTGTCTTCCTGTTCGTGGAAGCAACCATTTATTGTGATTTTGAAGAGAGGAATGCAAATCACAGGGACCTCAAAATTTCATGTTGCTGCACAGCACATGCAGTTTAATACTGAAGAGTTTCCAAAGTTCTCGCAACAGCCAAAATCCCAGTCAGCATCTCATCCCCCTCACCAAGTTTTCCACAATCATCTTCCTGCCTCCTAATTGATATTCAGTGTGATTGTGCTAAAGAATAACAGACGCCAGAGCAGACGGAAAAATTAAATGTTCAAGATGAGGCAACCAAATTCATCAGACCAGTCAAACTGTTAGCTTTACATTTCTAAAGACAGATACCCAAATCTGTTGAAAGATGAGGAAAGCAAGAACAAAATTAAATATTTGGTATATTTCTGCCTAAGGAATTGAAATTTCTGCACAATACACAGGCATTATCACAACACAATGTGCTTTTAAAATCTCTTGCCGGAGAAAGCCTTTCTGTATTATATCATCTGTCTGCTTATCTTGATCTTTTGAATACTCTTTAAAACAGAAAACATGCAATGCTTATATGGTGGGCAAGGTTTTAGAGAGGCTTCTGCCTGGCAAATGGTTGAGTTACAATCTGCAGCTCCAGTGTACGTCTTCTTTTTTGTTCAGATGCTTCTGAGACTGAGGTCTGGGGGACTCTGTGCTGACGGGTTAACTGACCTACAGCAACTGCAGCTCTACTACGATTAAATCAGTGTGGACTCCCCTGTATTGCTCAGGCACACTGAGAAGGCAAGCTGACAGTCTGATGACTACCCATTTCCATCAGCGCCAGACATATGTCCTCGCCTGTGTATCAGGGGTCAAAAAGGGCAGTATGGCGTGAACCTGTCGCTTCTCTCTCAATTCAAGAACCAAAGCTGGTGGTGGTGGGTTTTGAGATCCAAATCAATTCCTACATCTCAGGAACACAGGGTTAGTAACCCTGTTTTTACCCTTTTCACATGTGCAAGCATGCTGACACTGTGCATCTGGCAAACTGCTGCTGTACTTCAGGAAGGGGGTGAAAAATGACTGTCAGCAACCACAGTAAAATAAATTCCCCCATCACCCTTCCAAACCTGGTACTGGATGCAGCCAGATCCAGCACATAACACTCACAGATGTGAGCACCCTGATGGACCGCTTATTGGTTTGAGCTACAAATTAACAGGGATAAGTAGGGTGTGGCAGAATAAGACAGCCCAAAGGCTTACATCAACTTATAGCGTGGGTTAACATGATAAGTTGTCAACTTAGACACTGCAACTTTTACCTTCGAATCAGTCATTAATCACTAGAAACAAACATGAATACAACCTAAGGGGTGCATAAGGATGCAGTTATTTTTTTCTCTCATACTTGGGCTAATGCTTAGGGGTACCAGTGCCCACTCCTGTGACTCTCTCATATCAAGTATCATGGCACCCCCCAAAAACCACGGTGGTTTCACCTGGGCTAGACACCAGGTGCTCAACAAAGCTGTTTTATCAGTCTCTTTCTCTGGAGAGAGTTGGACAGGGGAGAGAAAATATAATGAAAGGGTCATGAATTGATACAAAGACAGGGAGAGATCACTCACCAGTTACAATCACAGGTAAAACAGACTTAAGGGAAGCAACTGAATTTATTACCTATCAAAAACAGAGCAGGATAATTAAAAGTAAAGTAAATCCTAAAAAACAAGTTCCATCCACCTCTCCCTTCTTCCCGAGATTAACTTCATTCTCGGTTCTCTACCTCCTCCCTGCTCAGCAATACCAGAAGATGGGGAAGGGGGGTTATGGTCAGTTTATCACATATTACTGGTGCTTCCTCCTCAGGGAGGTCATTCTCCTGCTCCAACATGAGGTCCCTCCCACAGGAGACAATCCTCCAAGAACTATCCGATGTGAGTCCTTCCCAGAGGCTACACTTCTTCAAGAACTGCTCCAGTGTGGGTCCCTTTCCACAGAGTTCAGTCGTATAGGAACAGCCTGCTCCAGTCTGGGTCCCCCACAGGGTCACCACACCTACCAGGAAACCTGCTCCTCTCTCCATAGGTCCATAGGTCCTGCGAGGAGCCTGCTTCACTGAGGGCTCCCCATGGAGTCACAGCTGTCACAGAACCCTTCTGGAGGTGAACAGGTTCTTCTGGAGCATAATATATGCGTGTTCTGACACTAATTGTTTGACTTGTTTATTCTGCTAACCAAGGAGGTGAAGATGGCAAATAGTGCACTTCATGAAGCCCAGAAGAGCTCCAAAAACTTAAAGAAATCAACACTGAAGGTCTCAAGTCCATCACAAGTTCAAGAGGACTGACAACAACAAGCTGGAAGCCTATCAAGCTCGCAACCTCCATTTGTCCACACCACAAAATAACATCAGAAGCTACTGCAGCAACATTGCTGATGAAGCCAAGGTTGCTACAAACCGCTAGGAGAACTACACCAACCAAAAGATTATCTGTCCCCAAAACCAGCTTTTCTATTTATGTACTGTCATTGTACATTTTGCAGCACAGCAGGAAACAGACACTGTGGATGGCACCCAAGGCCAACAAACCTCATCAGAGGCTTTGGGTAGGTATCTTTTACTTCACATTGCAACAGCCCACAAGCACAACACAAGGTCAAACACAGCATCTAACTGAAGCTACTGTTGCTGCCAAACCAAGAGTGGAAAGTGCTGTTTAAAAACTGTTCTAGCTGGAGGCCCCCCTGCTCATCTCATTGCTATTATTAAAGGTGTACATGGTCTTCTCTAAGCAATCAGTTCATATTTTCAGCTAAGAGGTTTTTTATTTTTGTTAAAAAATACCAATGAAGAAGCTAAAAATACTTACTCTAGGAAAGGCTCCAGATATGTTCCCTTCTTCCCAGAAGAGCAGTAAATTGCCTTATTCTACAATCCCAAACAGAGAAGAGCACTATACACTAAGCAAAAAAGTTCCTACAGTTATGCACACTATTTCAGATACATCTGTACTGAAGGTGACAGAAGGATCCAACCAGTTGCAGTTATTAAAAATCTTCAGTTTCAAGCATGTGACATTACACTAGTGCCAGCTAGTGCCAGCTGAATTAGGGACATACACATTCTTGATTGCACTCAGCAGCAGAGCTGTCATTTCCCACATTATCTGACATACAGAACTATGCACAGCCTTTCCACATTTCTGTCAAAGAACTGCCAGGGTAAACCTCAGGCAGTGGCATTGAGCAGGATACAAATACCTGCTCCTGCCAGTTCAAATCTGTAGCACATGCTGCAGTCAAGCTCAAAGTCATAATTTTGCATGACTCTGATCTGAAATTTGCAATAATACGATTATGCCCCAGATGAACCAGTTTTGTTCACACAAACACTGATTATTTTCCCAGGAAGATCAGACAGTGTCACTGCCTTGGCAATTTCAACTGGTGGATACATTGGGTAGTGCCACGGCTCAAAGCCTTCATCCCCCAACTGTTTCTGGAGCTGAGTGTGAAGGGATGCTGTCTGTCATCTCCTGCTCTGCAAGTGCTTTTCTGGCTAGCTAACACCACAGATTAGTTCTTGTCCTTCTTCTCCTATTCTAGCGGTACACTGAATTTCAAAACCTCCTCTGTATTACAAGAGTTGGTTAAAAATTACTATAGTCATATTGTATTACATTATAATCTTATTTATTCCCACTTATATGGTACAAGTTACCTAAATTTCCTAGAAAAGGAAATTTTTACCTGAAGTTGAGTTTTGATGTTTACAGGGTGGTTTTAGTTAAGCATGAAGAAAGTGTGTGGGAAATGCAGTCACAAACTTGTTAAAGGCCCCCTCATCATTCCCACAGTTATTAAAACAGGGTTCAGGAGATGCACAACCAAAGAAAATGTGTTAAAGCTGTCAGTGCCCAATGTCATCACGTCCAAGCCTCTGCCTTATACCCAATCACTCGTGTTTGCTCAGGATTGCAGTACTGCAACTTTTGCTAAATCTTGGCCTCAGAGATAAATGTGTCGGGGATGCGTGCTGTACATCACCCATCTCTGCTCTCCTCCCTCCTACTAAATATGCTGGAGAACAGGCAGATACCAGCAGCACCACACTGAGCGCAAGGGCTCCACCAAGCCAGGTGCAATTCTCCACCAGAGTGTTGAGCCACAGGCACTGAATTCAGGGTTGTTGTGAACAACTCAGCTTCTCCATGTAAAACCTTACGGACTTTGTGACAGTCAGGCCAAGTGTATGAACATACCTCTGAGGTCTCTCAGCCCAAATCTTCTCTCTATTTAATACAAAGAACTTGCATGTAATTACATCTGCCCCTGAGCCAGTAACGCGCAGTGGCAAGTCTCACACACAGAGGCAATTTACTGCTTTTCCAACAACTTGAAACCATATTCTTGCATGGTCATTTGAGGCACAAATCATAGAGATGAACAGAAGGCACAGCACTGATACCTCAGTAATTCGTCTGACATGGTATTACCATGGTAAAGTAGGATTAGCATTTACCTTGTCAGACCTACACACCGTACTATGCTGGGACAGATGG